GTTTATCATCATCATCTATATACATATTTAAGTTTATTTAAATAATCATTTTCAAAATGCATAAATATGTTCAAAGAATAAAATGTAATCAGTTAATATATATATATATATATATATAGCTAGCTGCGGAACAAGCAATATTCAATTAGTTAAAATGTATGGGACCTGAAACAAATTTGATTTATTGCTGATAATTATATAAACCTGGTTATTGTGTATTTAAAACACATTTTGTTTATTAGAACTACTGCAAAAATCTTACCTGTTAAGTCACACACAAATCTCATTTCTGACTAAAAATGCATCACATTAGGTTTACGTCAGGCAATGCGGTGTTGAACTCTCATAAAGGCACAGGAGACAGAAGTTCAAGGCATAATTAATCCACAAACGTAGATCCAAGAGGTCACAGAAAAAAACAATTCAGCACAGCTAAACACCACTAAACTCAACTAACACCTGCCATGATAGAACTGAAACTGCAGGATTAAATAGAACTCGCAAACAAGAGTAAACAGACGAGGAACACCTCAACAGAGTACTAAATCAATGAGTAACCAAGGAAACAAATAGGCAGGGAACAGAGGAGAACAAAACCAATTAACTAACAGCAACACCTAGAACAGAACAGGAAAGCTACATCAAACAGAATACAAACATGAATGAAACAAACTCAGAATATGACAGTTCAGAATATGACAGTTTATGTTAAAACTGTGTAATCTAAATGGATGGAAGATTTATATGCCATTTAAATTCATAAATCTTCAATTTAGACCCCTTTTGTGTATGGGTGATATGTGAAACCTAGCAGCTTGCTAGGTTTTGGAAGGGATGGTAGCCCTTTAAGGAAGGGACTAAATTGGTTCCACTGCACCTGCAGCCATAAAAGAAAATAGTATGTGAAAGTATGCTGCAACCATAAACATTTCAAACAGCAGCACACTACATTGATTTCACATGACTCATTATGCTGCATGCTTAATTCAGTTATCATCTGGAAGTTAATACTGTTATTTTGTGATTTTCAATCCAATTTAGTGCAAAAATGTCCTAATTTTTGGCAGTCTGATCAAATAATGAGTCATGGAGGAGATGTTAAAATGACGGATGACATTGCTTCCAGTTCATTCGTCACAATGGATGGAAGGTCAAGTTGAGCGTGTTTCTTTGTGATACAGTTTTCTCACACGGCTCTGCTTGTATCTTGCACATCAGAGTATTACATGCATACATAAAATCTGCAAGATGTTCAGAGTTCTCATACAGTTTTCTTTAAAATAGTCAGTATGTCTAGAACATCTTAATTCTACACCTGTTTTCCTTACCTGTATGCAGGTGCATCAAGCACAGATTTTATTACAAGGCGTCACTAGTGGCAGTCAAGGCCTAAATAAGAACAGATGAAACCAAAGAACAAATAATAATTCATTCCATAAGACTCAGATGCATTAAACTAAAGATATAATTTAAAGGACAACAGTTCAAATCCCAACCTAATGCAGAATTATTTGTGTAATGAATGAAGCAAAACTGCTACTGAATTGAACCAGTGATCATGCATTTTAATTTTATGTAAAAGAGTTATGATTTTTATTTTATTTTTTTAAATGAGAAATCATACGAGTTTCAAATGACTAGTTGGGGGTTGTTTCTGAAAACCCACTTATAAACATGCACATGAAAGGTCAAAGATACAAATATGTTTAAGGGAATTTGCATTTTAAGTCCACTGTTTAAAAAAGAAATCTTGGATAGGCCTACACAGGAACAAGTGGAGTATGATTTACTTGGGGGAAAAAGCTAGGAAACACTTGATTCACTAATAATTAAAAAAAGCAAATTAACATGACTTTTTTTTGGTACTCCAATGTACTCCAATAATCCATATTTACAGAATAGTCTAAGATCATGCAAGGAAAAGGGTCTGATAGCTTCTTCGATTCCAGTTCTAGTGAACAGAGATGTTAAAGAGCTGACGTTTGCACAGTTAAGCACTAATGTGCAACATGCAGGACAGCTGCATCTGTCCCATTATTAAATGGGATCAAAACGGTTTCTGTTCCCAACATGATCTTGCTGACACTGTTGTTTGCACAGTCATGACTGGACACTTCAGTCAGGCAGCTGAATCAGAGAAATATTTCATAATTCCTACAAACTGCTGATTGGAATAGCTTCAGGTGGAATTTCTGTATGTTTTCCTTCATCCCTGTTTCTGCCTGGAGTGTGCGCTGATCTGGAATTCCTCACACTTGGGAAAGAGGGGGAATTCCACACAATAATACTTCAAGGCTTGCCCACCCCCACCCACCCCACACCACACACACACACCCTGTCTGCTGAGCTCACTTCCTGCTGTAGACTCAGAGACAACAGGAAGTAGGTATAATGAAGGGGCGTAATCCAGGTGAGAGGCTGATTAATTGTCCCTTACAGTATAGAGGGAAGGAATGTTCCATAAATCAAAATATACTGTCATCAAAAACCATTATCGCCACCATGTGGTGAATGCATGAAGAATATTTTCCAAACTAAACTAGCAAAGCAAAAGAATTTTCATGGAAAGATCAATCAAAATGGTCTACAATGACAATAAGTATAAAAATACAGTTTGTTCTTACAAGTACCTTGCTTTTGGAGTTTGTGATGGATCTCTACATTTGAGATTCATCTGCTGTTGGATGTACCTTTCTTTTCCCCTAAACATTACTCTCTTCAAAAAGCATTAGAAAAAAGTGTGAGCTGCAAAACAAGCAAGTGGTATGTATAATTCACAAAGTTTTATTTTATGGCAATAAATAGCAAACGTTTGCAGAGTCCGTTCCAGAGTCGTCATCATAATGGCCATGGACTGGACCAGGTTCCAGAGTTTAGGAAACATGCTGATCAACATGTGATACGCTTTCCCACAAATTGCTTCAGACATTCAGGAAAAAGGAGGCAAGTGTAAAAAGAAAATGCAACAGTATGTTTCAGCTGACACTTTTATGCTTTCTGTTTCAGACGATGATAGAACGGAATCAGGCGAACACCTCAGGAGGAGAAATGGGATGGAGACTTGCTGGAGCAGGAGAAAAGACTGCTGAGGTCGAACAGAAGACATCTAAACAGAAAACCGTTTAGTCAGTCTTTGAGTGTTACAAGAATGTAGAGCATCATCTAACATTTACTTCATCAGAGCTGCTTTTGATTCAACGTTCAGATGTAGGTGAAAAAAATCAATTAAATCATTAAATCAATCAATTCACACCTATGTTATTTGTAAATGAAACGACTACTGATGGACAGCTAAAATCAAGACGCTGCATGGTGCAACTGTGCAGTGCAATATACATATGTATAGGGCATTGCACTGAACATTTTTAGATTAGAAAGGTGCAGAATATAGTTTGTTTTGTGCTAGTCTAGCCAGACGTCTTGTTCTGAAAACTTTACGTGGTAAGAACATAATCTCGTCTCCGGCCTTTGATGTTAACAGTCACAACAATACCTTACTGGTGCATTTGGTTACCTTCATCCAAAGACCATGGTTAAAGGCATAGGCAACTTCACATTGTTATAATTCACAGACAAAAAGTTGTTATACAGTATTTATTTCACAGATTAACTAAAGCCGGATTACCTCCATTTCCATTCAAGAAAGCCAATCTAACAATGCAAGTGAGCAGAATGATGCGACAAAATTTAACTGCTCCCAATATAATCAACATCAACAAACAAGCAGCACTGTGTCACTGCATTATAAACCATTTTGTTGATCATAATGGAACAATACAGTTTTGTTGCAATGCACTGCTTGTTTGCAGCATATACTATGTGTGAAAAAAAGAATCACGCTTGTACCAATTTCACAGGGCAACACATGTCAAACTAATTAAAACAGATCAAAGACAGATTCTTCTGCTTTCAAAAAACACCTAGGTATATTTCAGAGTTTTAACTATTAGTACTAGCAAATTAAAATGGCTTAGTGAAAAAACTATAAAAACAACTGACAAAAACAACATAAAAAGTGAAAGCTGGATTTTAAGGCATCAAATCAACTAAACTTTTTTTTTTTAACTATTAGTACTAGCAAATTAAAATGGCTTAGTGAAAAAACAATAAAAACAACTGACAAAAACAACATAAAAAGTGAAAGCTGGATTTTAAGGCATCAAATCAACTAAACTTTTTTTAAATTTTTTTTATCAATCATATTTAATGTCCTAAACAATCAAGGTATTATATTCTGGCCATAATTGTATTAACTGATAATTAATTGTATTATAATTGATAATTGTTTAAATGTTGAAGGCCATGGGAATTGCTGCAAGGCAGAATCCTGTGGGCTGCACGGAATACTGTGAACTGGACGGAATCTTCAATCAGACGGAACACTCAAAATTGTGACTGAATCTTTAGCATTACTACACTTCAGCTGCCATCTTCACACGAAGAAATTAAGGGGATGATTTACAGTGATTATGGTTTGAAAAAATATATACAAGAAGCAAACTGGTCTTGGGCTGGTAGTGCAAAAAAAATATTTTGCTCAAGATAACTTTCAAGCATTGTTGTTTTTATTTTTTTAAATGGCCTTACAAAAAATAAATAAACTAAAATTGTGATAAACCAGCACCAACCAATATTGGTTTTCTATTTTCTATTTAAGAGTGATGCTCACAAAAACACCCAGGATCAAATTTTAGCCAAAAAGCAAAAAAAAAAAACAAAGGAAATTATATTTTGCATTTAAAAAGGCTATTTTAATGACCATGAACATTTTTGCATATACCCCCCCAAACCCCCCCCCCCA